GGGAAGTCGTTCGGGGAGGCCCTCCCTAATTCCACAAGGGTGAGAAGAAACACACACGATAACGAAACGTTGAATCATGTAGAACTCGTAGGGTAAATGCAAAGCAATTTAGTAAGAATATGCAGTAAGCTAAGCGAAGAGGTAAGCAAGAGACATGTTAGACTACACTACAACTACTAAACGAGTTAGTGCTACTACTACATTACTACTACAAACAAAAAAAAAATAAAAACATCTACAATCAACAATTACTTCAAACAAAATGAACAAAAATAAGCATGCAAAATAAAAACTAAATCAAATAAACTATAAGAAACTACAACTACAAAAACAAAAAAAACATGCAAAATAAAAAATTAATTTGAATAAAACGAACTTAATGAATTCTACTAGATAGAACATGTAAGATAAAGAACTATTTCAACTACTGGGTCATCTTTGTCTTCTCCAACGTCGATCTGAAACAGATACGGTGGCAAACAGATTAATAAAGAGAAATTGAAATTAAGTATATCAAGTATCCTCACCTTAATTAATTATAAAAGGTAACATTCCAAAGTTTACAGGTGTGAAAAGTAAACCAACTCCAGTAAGAACCCCGTAGCAGAGAATTTCTCATTTCAGTGGAATTCAAATAAATGTCCAGTTGCACTCACTCATGGGTTGGAAATTAACTGCATGATGTTACAAGGCGAAGACGAAACAGCAAATCAAGAATATAATCCAGGAAAGACCACACCCATGTAAACACGGGCTGTTTCAGTATAACCAAACTGAACATTAATTCTCTCTCATTTATTGTATAACCTGCAGAAATGGACAAAAAAACATATTAACTACACTTATAATTAAGCAACACAAATAAAAACGCACCAAAAAGCAAGCAAAATAGCTGAATTATAAAATAAACAAACAACAATTTTACGCCATTTTACATCACAACCATAGATCACGACATAGACTAATGTCAAATAACACGACGTCAATTTACGACATAGACAACAGATAAAGGTTAAAAAGAAAATCCATAGATAGATAAACTTCATAGATAAATCCATAATATATGTCTATGGATACATCAATGATAAATATCAATTTATTCTGTGGAAAATAAAAACTGTCAAGTGATATAGATGCACAATAACCTCAATTTATACTGTTGACAATAGCTAACAGAAATTCCACAACAGATTAATAAAGAGTAATTAATATTGATCAAGTCATGTATTCTCACCTCAATTAATTGTAGAAAGTGGCGTTCTAAAGTCTACCAGTGTGATGAGCAAACCAACCAAATCTAGGAGGGATACCACTGCAGATAATTTGTTGTTCCGGTTGCATCCAAATTGATTAATTAATTTCCAATTGCCCCCCATTGTTACGGCAAAAATTAACTGCATAATGTTGCAAGGTGAAGACGTCAAAAGCATCGGTTGTTTTAGTAGTACCAAAATTAACCGCGATTCCTTCTCATTTGTGGGACAATCTATATAGAATCAGGCAAGAAAAAGTAATTAATTACCATTTTTAAATCGAATAAATCAGTAACATGCACACTAAGGGAAAGATCTGTTCCACGTTAATTCTGCTTCTGCCATTTCTGAAACGTTGTTTAAAAGTTGTCTATTGAAGCAAGTTACAAATGTCTAAGAAACTGAAGTTATCTAAAGATATTTTATTACTATTTTTAACTGATACTATTACATACCAGTTCATCATCATAAATCCTTTTTTCAGCACACTGTCTTCGCTCCCAATGAATAAAAGGCACTTTCATGCTTTCTTTAGAACCATGGGCACAGCTACTTTACAGGGCAAATGAGGACTAATACAACCAATGCTCCATAATTTCATAATTCAATGGTATCCGGAGTTCTTCTAATGTTCCTGTAAAATGAAATCTTATGAAAAAGTGTTCAGATATAATTAATTAAGTATTAAGTAAATAATGTGCACGATACATTGTTAAAGTAATGCTGAATCTTTTTCTTTGTTAATATCAAATAAATACACTACATATAGAAAATATAGTATGCATGCTCACC